GGGGGACCGTCCGCATCACTCCCTGCCGCCTCGGTCCCCTACCTCCTCGGTCCCTGCCACCTCGGTGCCTCTGACCAGTCACCTTCATGCCGGCGGGCAGAACGGGCTCCTCAGGAGCCGGGCTTGTCCCTGTTAGACCTGGGCTCTGGTCCCATGTGTGCCTGCAGCGCTCTTTCCTTCGGGGTTTACAACAGCCGTATTGCACTGCCAGGGTTGAAAGGAATGCACAGCGTTACTGCACGTGGTCCCGTGCCCTGCACAGTACAGACTCCCCAAAATTCTCTCTGCCTCTTTTCTTGCCTGAGCACACATAGATTTCCAGTCCAGCGTGATGCTGCCTTTGGTTGTGAGGGGTAGGTGGGTGTGAGGATGGGGCAGCCCTTGCCCTGTCATGCCCATGGCACCGACAGTGGGCACAGCAGACACCGTGGAGTCATGGGGCCATCCTGAGGTCTGTGGCTGAGCTCTGAAAGCCTCCTGGCTGCAAACAGGGGCATCAGGCATTCCTCCCCCCAACTCCAACCCGCTGTTGGTTTCCAAACCATTAAACCCAATGTCCGGCCCTTGCCGTGTCCTGGCTGATGCAGGGGGACTGCCAGCCCCTCCAGAGCAGCCCGTTGTTATTGGGCGTTGGGCTGGAGCAGCTGATGGGCCTGGACCTGCCCCCTCCCCGGTGAAGCACTTTCCTTATCAGAACAGATGTTCTCCCAGATCTGGCCCTTCAAGGAAGGAGTGGCTGGCCCGGGGGCTGTGGGGGGGGGCGGGCCCCGGCTGCCCGCGGCATGCGCAGCACATCGCCCCGATCCTGCCAGCCATTAACTGATTAACCTGCTGCTCCTGGAAGCCTGGGCCGCCTGTATCTAATCAGATGAAAGCCAGGATTTCCCAAAGGGCCTTTTCACCAGAGCCTTTATGGCCATCCCTCAGTCAGGAGGAACCTTCTGGCCTCTTGCAACAGTTGTAGCCACCGAGGAGCCTGAAGTGCCTGATGGGAATGGGACGCAGGAGAGTGGGTGCCCAGAGGTGCGTGTCTAAGCAAGTTGCACCCAGCAGAAAACTGCCTCGTCTGTCCATCTCCACTTGTCCAGGTGTGATTCTGCTATTATCTGGAGAAACAGAGATTTCCAGGGAAGGGTTGAGGGGCAGTCCTGAAGCCAGAGACTCTCTAGGAGTCTAACATCTCCTGTGAATCATAGGCTTAAGCCGTGGTGAAGCCAGGTAGCCAAGGCTGGAGAGTGTACATGGGAAAGCATCAAACTTTGCTTTGCAGGAAAGGCAGTGGGGGTTGGAGAGAGGGAATGTGGCTTCCCTGGAACGGGAATGTTTGGCATTTGTTGCACCCCAGACAGTCTTCCTCCTCCATGGGGTTTCTTGGTGGGATGACAATGCCTGAGCATAAGGGAGTTGCTCCACCTCTTTCTGCTGCAGCAGAAGCCAAGCTTGTCCCAGGGGATGCATGTCATCCCTTTTAATGAATAGCTTAAACCCCAGTGTGGTGTTGGTCTTCCCTTAGGAGGCTCCCATACTGTGCTTGCAGCATTTAGATACCACACTCAGCAATGTGGTCAGTGTCTGGGGTTAAGTGGGGATGCCGTGGGTCTTCCCAGCTTCCCTCGTTCCTCTCTCCGCATGCTGGAGACCAAAGGAGTTCCTATTCTTTGAAGTTTATCTATGATAAGTGATTTAATGACAGCTTCAACCTACTTATCATCCTGGCTCTGTCAAGGGTGGAATAGTTTCGGAAGGTCGTGCCAGATTGACACTGCTTACTAGGGATGGCAAGTTGGTGGGATGCGTGCTGCTGCCATTCTTGCCCTGCAGCATCCCAAGTGGTCCAGATTAGAAAGTCTTCATCCTCAGCAGGTAGTACAGCACAAAGATGTGTACTTCTACCACCTGATTTGCGGGCTGGCTCAGAGATGTGACAGATGATGCCTTTGCTCCAGCCAGGTATGAACAGAGGAGCTGAGATGGTGCGTGTGCTTTGCTGTCTCCTTTCTTGGCTGCTGCAGTGAGTCCCGTGCCCAGACAGGGAGGAGGGGCCCTGGAGGCCAGGGCTGTGGCATGGTGACGGATGATAATTTCCCTTCGTGTCTGGAGTGTGGGCAGGATGTGGGGTGACACAGAGGATGTGACTCGCTCTCCAATTCCCCCTGAGGCGCAGGAATGTCATGGTCAGGGTTAAAGGAGACAGTTCTCCCATCCAGTCCCTCTCTGCTCTCCAGTTAGAGTGACCAGCCAGCACAGCCCCATGGTCAGCCTGCACTGAGCAGCAGCTTCCAGTGGAGTCACAGATGCTGTCCTCCTTCTGCTCATGTGCCACTGGCTTAGAAATGCTGGCGTTTTAAGCAGTAAACAGTTTTCCTCACTGCTTTTTTGGTGAAATGCAGCACTTTTCATCTGTGTTGTAAAATATAACTCCCAAAGTCCTTAAGCTTTCTGACATAGAATGAGAAAGGCAGGGGGGATCCTGTGCTCGTGTCCTGCATGGCTGTGGTGGTCTGAACTGTCTCTACAGATGGCCTGAACTTCACTTACTGCCCCCCACCCTCCACTGACTGCAGCCTCCACTGCCTAGAGCCCATCTCTTGTGGCCTGGGACATCTGCCATGGAGGTAGGGAAGAGGAGCCACTTCTCCCAGGGCCACATGCAGACCAGACTGGAGTCTCAGGGTTCAGTCCATGGAGGAGTACAAGGACTACCTGAGTTGTCACCATGCATGCATATCGAGCTGCTTTCTTGGCCCCAAACTGAGACAGAGAGCAAGCAGCTCTGCCAGGTCTTTTTTGCTCTGGCAGCTTTACCCTAGCTGCTGCACAGGTATGCTGACTGCTTGGTGGAACTGGGAGGTGTTTGCCTACTCCACAAAGCCATCAGTCAGCCTGCAGAGTGTGGTCCTTTGTCAGCCATGTGATACTCAGTTGTGCATGCTGTCCTCCAGGTGTCTGATGGCTACTTACTCCTGGTGTAAACTCTGTGTAACCATTTGCAGACAGAGTACATGGGTAAGGAGAAGAGCTGAAGGGACTTGTGAATGCATCTTTGAAGTGTGGAGCCTGCCTTATTCTTGGGTGCAGCAGGTACAGGACCGGCCTGATTTTTGGTTGCGCATGCGATTCTCACCAGCTTTGAGCTCTTGGTTGAAGCTGCCTGGCTGCATCATTAAGAGATCAGTGTCCCCAGGGAGCCTGGCTTGTGCTGGGTGGAGAGGGCTAGTATATGGCATCGTGGACTGGATTTCTCAACATCTTGGTTTGCCCTCCCTGTGCTCCCTGCAGCTGGGTGAGGATGGAGTTCCTGTGAGAAAGGACCGTGCCTGGATGTCCTGGAGAATCCCTTCAGAGACTCCTGGCTGAGATGAGGAAAATGGTTCAGCTGACTTGATGACACTGACTGTGAGTGATGTGCTGTCTTTCCAGATAACAGTGAGCTGAGTGCTCATGAGGTACAAGCTTTGGCTTAGGAAAATGCATCTGGGAAAGAAACAGTAGATGCAGCATTGTTGTCTTCAGCAGTGGCTTCACCAAGCCTCATTCCTCCTCTCTGAGGAACATGTGCTTTGTTGACTTTCGTTGGAGACCTCCTCTTAGAAAAGAGGATCTGGAGGGGCTGGGAAGAGAAAGAGAAATGCTGACTATTACGTCCATGTTGTGCATGTAGTGCTCACTGAGTCAGTATGAACCAGAGTGAGCCCTCTCTAAGCAGTCTGCATAGTTCAGCTGAAGTACCACTGTCCCTGAAGGTGTGCATGGGGCTGGCGTAGCATGGATGCTCCTACCTGCAGAATCCTCCATCCCAGCCGAATCCCAGAACCATTCAGAGTGTTAAAGAGGCACTGTCCTTTGCCTGCAATTGGTGCCCTGTTCTGAAGCAGCAATTGCAGGGAAGAAAGCTCTTGTGCAAAGGTGACGTGAAGAAGTGTCTGGCGGGAGAGCGGGAGTCCTGTTAGCTCCCTCCTTAGGGCATTCATCTGGAGCCAGGCTTCGTGAGCTGAGGCCTTGTCAGATCCTATCAGCAGCACAGGGGGGGCTGGTGCGGGGGCTGGATGGGAGCCCCCGCCTGAAAGGAGCCAGGGCTCCCTGGGCCAGCCTGCAGCTGCCTCGTGCTGCCTCCATGCCACCTTGTACTGCTCTGGTTTCACTTCTTGCCTCACTTTTTCTTTTTTTTAACATAATAATCACAAATATTTCACAATCTCTTATTTCCCATTTTGCTTTGCTTTAAGGAGAATGTGTGAGCTATTTAAATGCGATCATTAAGACTGAAACTTCTGCGAGTCAGGGTTTCCTGGTTATCCTCCAGTTACCCCAGGCTCTGTGGTTCTATCTCTGGGTTTCCATACAAGCTTACACATCCAAGTTCAGCAGTGCCGTGGAGCTGAGTCCCAGGAAAAGCACCTGCAGAGAGCCTGTCTGCCATGCACAGCTCGGCACAGTGTCTGGGGGACTCCTGGGGCTCATCGTTCTAAATGCAATAATTATCGCAGCAACTGAACTGGTAGTGGGGCCTCTTGTAGATATAGTGATCAGTATATTTGATGAGAAGTTGGAAATTAGGGTTAGGACCGGGGCTGTGTATTAGTCCTGTTTATTCCTGCTACCTGCATAGCCAATGGTTAAGATTTGGCTGAATCACACTTTCTGGAAAAGCTGCTTATTTCTGGAGGATCCCCTGCTTTTTGCAGTTTCTTCAAGTGATTACACAACCTTGTTTTAAAAGAAGCTCTGCTTCATTTCTGAAGTATCTGGCAGCTCCATCCATTTTAATCTCCTGCTTCATGAGAGCTGTTTCATCCCAAATAACTGCTCTGCCTGCAAGAAATTATTCTCTGGCACCAAGTTGCCTCCGGGTTGCTGGCAAAGATGAGACAGCAGGTAGCAGAGCAGTGGTCTCAGTACTGCTGGCAGTGGTGTCCTCGCAGCAGAGTTCAGTTAAAGAGTATGCAGGGACTGAGGTGGGGTTTGCAGCCCATGCTGGGCCACATGCTGCTGTGATCCCCTATCAGTGTCTGGGCTAGATAGCGCAGCCCTAGCTCTGGCAAATCTACATAATGACATTAAGGTTTTCACAGGTCCTTTTGCATTACAAGGGACATTTCTGAATAGCAAAAATTACTTGAGTTTTTCCAGCTTTCTCTGGAAGGCTTCTTTCTCATACCTCTAAGCATGAGCAGTAAACTTCCTTACTCCTGTTTATACATCCCAGACATGCATCAGCTCTTGTTGCAACCAAATGTCCTGGGAGTGTCTGTTCAGCAATTCACAATCCTCTTTAGGTCTATGACTTTCCAGAAGACATTCCTCCGTTTGAAGTGCTCCTCGCATTCCTTCTCCCCTGAAGCTGACCTCTCACTTTGGCTGTATTTTAATCCCATTTTGTTCAAACAAGCAGGCTGTGGAATCCACACTGCTCTGATGGTCTCATCCTTGTGGGTATTTAGTGATCTACCAGATGTTGGCATCTGCTAGTACTGTCAGCACTATTTTGATTTTAGGTCCTTGATGAGAATACAAAATAGTACTGACCTGGTCTCTGCAGAGTTTTGTTAGAAACTCCCTCAATTAGTCATGATTTTCCCCATATGTAACAACTCTTCTGAGAGCTCATTTCTGCTGTTTGTTCCTCAAGGGCTGACTTGTCAGAGTTCTAGATGATCAATACCATGAGAATCTATTACTGTCCTGTTCATCTCTTAACTTGGATGCAAAGAAAGAAGTCGTCTTTTTGACTAGCCTTCTTTCCACTTGTTGACTGGCACTGGACAATGATTAAGGCTAGAGTAGCTTTAAGTTGGAAAAGCTGAAGGCAAAAGCTCTGTATTTTGCCTGGGATTGTTGGACTAAGCAGCCCATGGTTACTTGGGAAAATCCTGCTATTGCCTTCATTTAGGCCCTGACCCTTCCAGTCTCTTGGAATTTCCTCAGCATTTCCAGGCTTATCAGAAATGAATATCAGCTGGTGAAAAACTTTATGAGACAGACCTCTGGGAGCTCTTGGACCTGTTTATTTTTAAAATGTTTTA